ATGTCCGTGGGTATTGGCACTGGGGAAGACAGACAGGTCTGTCAGGGGAGAGGTGCCGTGTTCGGCGTGAGGGGTGACCTCGAGATGCTTGGGCAAACCTCCCTCCAAAATGGGTTTGGGATCTCCAATTATAACACGGACTTGGCCAGAGAGAGCCAGACTCGGGGAGCTGGCCGCCTTCACTGCTGAGAGCGCTGGCCTCTGATCTCTGCGCCTGATGGAAACCCAGGGCGAGAAACCAAGCGTGGCCAGCGACACTGGAGGTCCTGTGAGTTCAGGAGGGACTGGGCTGAAGCCCCCTGGGACAAGCACCCAAAGAAGGATGTAGTGTCCCTACCTTTCAAACACATTAAAAAACAAAAACAAAAACAAAAACCCAGCCTTACTGGTTTTATAAAGGCCATATACTCACTGTAAAAATTCAAAAAATGCAGAAAGGAGCATCAGAGAAGGTAAAACTCAGCCTCGGCCCACCCCAGAGATCGCTGCTGCTGCCACCTGGGGCCCCTCCCTCCAGACGTCAGTTCTTGAGCACTCAGGGGTGGGCCCCTCTATCCCTACGGGATCACACAGCGCGGGTTCTTCCCCTGGTAATGGGTCAGGAACGTGGCAGTGAGTAGACCAAGGTCCTCGTTTCAGTGGCTGTGTACTGCTCCACGGGATCACACACTGTGCGATGTCAGTGCGGGGTCCGTCAGCTCCTTCACTGGCTCGTCAGGGCTGACCCCGCTGTGGGGGTGCCGCCACACAGACATGGGACCCACTGCCCCCACATTTGTCTTTGGGCGGTCATTATAAAGAAGGATGAACCGTCTGATTTTCTTGGCTTAACATCAGGCGGCCGTAGGATGCGTGGTTCAGACTGGGTCACTTTTGAGAGCAGAAGGTGGGGTTATTACTAATCCCGCCCCCCAGCAGGCAAGCCTGGATTCTGGCCCCTGCCTCGAAAACCCAACCAGGTGGGCCAGCCTGTATCAGGATCACATTGGGGGGGGTAAATTTATGGGGCTTGGCCCCACCCCCAGCTCCGGCTGCCAGCTAGGGTTGGGGTCTCCCCACCATTTCAGGCTTCTGGACACCCCCGATGGAGCCACTCCAAACTTTCCTGTCTAGCCGTCCAGCCCTCTGTCTACCCACGTCACCCTTGCCGGTCACCAGGGACCCTCTGGCAGTATGACATCGGCCCCAAGAGCAGGGCTTGGCACAAAGATGCTGAATGAGATTTGTGAATGAATGAGGGAATGAATGAATGATCACCAGGCCCATCCCCAGGGCAGATGCCATGTGTTGGCACCTGGACAGAGTCCAGGTGTCCTGCCGAATGCATTAGTGTGTCATCGAATCCTTCTGCTAGCCCCATGCTCAGAAAACGGAATGGGGACAGGGACCAGTAAAGCCATGTGACAGGTAGGGAGAGGCAGGGTCGCCATGTGACCCAGGGCCACTGACCCTGAATCATGTGCGCACACAGACATAGCACGCGGGTTCCCGCCTCCCTCCCTGCAGCCCCCAACACACTGGGGAGGGGCATGAGCCCCATTGCCACTGGCCACAGAGGGTGCCAGCTCCACGCCCAGGACTCCCTCCGCTGGGGATGGGGGGAGGTGCGTTCACATCCTTCCCCAAAATGGGAGCCTGGGGAAGAGTCTGAGCCATTTCCCCTGGCAGTCACTCTGGGATTGGGGTCTGCCACCTCCAAGAGCCACCAGCCCCCTCCCACACAGCTCCTTGAGCCGTGACCCTGGGATCATTAGCCTTCGGTTTGGAGGAGATACTTCAGAACAGTGCTACCTTCACTTTCAGGTGAGGAAACGGAGGCCCAGAGAGCCTCTTAGCCAGCGGGTGGCACGGCATCCATGCCCTGGGCACTGGCCAGCGGTGGGCTGGCCCCTCTCTGGGCCCCAGGCATCGGTGGCAAGGGCTGGTGGCCCAGACCAGAATGGGCACCGGAATCCCAGGCAGCCCGTGGCCGGTCGCAGGGGTACGGTCCCAGGCGGGGGCGGGAGCAGGGGCAGGACCCACTGAGCGCCCCTCGCGGCGCCGGGGCCGGGGAGGGTCTGGGCGGCCCCCTCGCGGGCCGGCGGCGTGGGGCAGGTAGCCAGCTTGCTCGCGTTGACCCAGCGCAGGGAGCAGGCCGCCGCGCCCCTGCCTGCTGCTTTTCCACGGGAGAGGTGTTTAATTATTTCTGACAGGGTTCAGCGTCGACATCTGTTCTGAGCTGGGAGAGTCCATTTAGGTTATCCATCACTGTGACAGGTTCAACTTTTTTGGAAGCGCTTTTCCCTTTCATAATGGGGCTGGGGTGGCGGGGGGTTGGTGGCTGGGCACAGACATGAGGCACAGACAAAGACCCTCCTGGGGCTCCAGGCAGGACGCTGCGTAGCCCTCGGCTGCCGTCGCCGCTGCACTGGCCCTCTGGAGCCCGGACCCGGTGGGGGCTGCCGGAATGGGGGATGCCAGGATGTTCGGGTCGGGAAAGGACTTTCGGCGAGTCTGTGAAAGGCTTTTTCATTCTTCTGCCATTCTGTGCCATACTGGTCATTCATTCATTCATCTCCTCCTTCATTCATTCTTCCCGCAGATGTTCACTGACCGCTCACTGGGTGGGGGGCTCTGGGGACGCCGTGGGGGTCACAACAGCCATGGGCCTTAGGGGCTCCCATTTTGCTGGGGAAGATGGACAACTAATTGCCCAATTAACTAATTAATTGCAGTGAGGATGCACACTGTGAAGGGGAGAAAGGAGCCCCGCTGGGCTGGAGAGGCACCTGCCGGGACGCAGCCGGAAGTGAGGGAAGGACCCTCAGGATGGAACCCGGGACCCTTTCCTACCGGGCACGGTCCTTCAGCCCGCAGGGCCTCAGGTTGCACATCAGCCGAGGGGGCGTCCTTTCTGTGACATAATAAATGTCCAGTGCTCGGCGCACAGTGAGAGCTAAACGCTTCCCGTTGCTACTGTTTCCCCAAAGTGGGGACCAAGGGTTGCATCCATAAAGGCATCACTCTGGGGGGCTAGGGTCCCTGCTGGGCTGACCACGGTGGCGCCCAGGGACAGCCTTGCTCTGAGAGTCCTACAGAAAGGACTTTCCAGAACCCCACGAACATCCCCCAAAAGACGAAAAGCGCCCCGTGAATCCTGGGCGGGCATGTTTATGCTTTCTCGTTGTTTCCGTGGCACAGCGGGTCGTGTGTTGGAGCTTGGGGCCCACGGTCAGAGGAGCGAGGCTTCCAGGCCCCACCAGCCCACTCACTGGGGAGGAGAGCCCAGACTCTGCTTCCGCTCTGTGCCCCGGAGCCGTGGGGGGCGGGGGCGGGCACTCGCTCGAAGACGAAGTACACCAGTACGCAGAGATGACTTAGCACGGTGCCTGGTGCCGAAGACAGGGGTGGCCTTCACAGGCTGCCTCCTGTTGCTCCGACCGCATTTCAGTGACAGCAGTCTAGACCGGAAGAATGTAGCACAGCTGAGTCAAAGCCCCACTTTTGAAAACAGAAACTGGTTCGTTCGTGTCCGACTCAGGGCCAGGACCGTGGGGACACCGGCGTGGGAGACGTGCCCTCCTGATATGGGAGAGTCGGGGTGGGGATAGGGGTGGGGGCCCTTTCCTTGCTCCTCTGGCCCAAGACCACCTGAGCCCTCCTTTGTCCCCTGCCTCAGTAGCTCGGGGCAGATTCTAAATCGGAGCCGGGAGACAGGGGGTGACGCCGCAGAGCTGAGTCCCGTCCATGGCCTCTCGTGCTTACAGAGCTCTGGGTTCCCGACCCTCCCTGGGCAGCCTCCCAGGGAAAATCAGAGGGAAAAATTGGAGCGAAAAGAGCAAAGGAGGAAAGATGATGGAGAAAGGGCCAGGAAGGAAGCTGTGAGGAGAGGAGAGGGGGAGGAACATGGTTAAAAAGGCAGGAAACCGGGGGAGACAGAGAAAGCAGGGTGAGTCTTGCGGCCGCCTGGCCAAAACGGAAGAGCTACAAAGCGACACGGGCGGGGACTCCCGGCACCTCCGGCTCGGTGCCGGGTCACGTTCTTGTGCGGGGTGGTGCGGGCTGACGGGCGGCGGGCGGATGGTCACTGACATATGCTGACGGAGGCCACATGGGCAGGACGCGTGGGGCCACGTTGGGGGGCGGCAGGCGTCTCCACGGCGCTCAGCAGCTTGTCCAAGAGCATTAGGCTCGGGAAGGCCCTGGCCCCTTCGTTGTCCAAACTGCAGTTTAACTCAGTGCCACGGTGGGCTGGGCTGGCCGGGAATGTCGCTTTGTCCAGCTGTCTCCCTGGGGCCAGGCGTGTCCCCGTGGCCCCCAGAAAGACTCGCTGGGCGCGAGTTAGGCATGCAGAGCTCCCTTCCCACGTGGAAGCTGCTGTCCCCAGATCTCCCTGTTCCCCTCCTCGGGACAGCGCTTCCCCACCCCGGCTCTCACACGGCTCTTCCCCTGCTAAAAGGCACTGAAGAGAGATCCCATTCCGGGTGCGACAGGGCTCGTGGCCTGATGAACACCAGGGTCCGTTCTGAGGCCGGCGCACGGCGGGTGTCAGCCCCTGGTGGAGATTTGCTCCCCCATCCCCAGGAATTCCACGCTGCAAGGAGGCCTAGCGCTGGGGGTGTGGGCTTGTCCTCCCCACCAAGTCCCCAGAGCAGGATGTGGTGCCTCCGTGACCCCATCGCTGGAGGGGGCTTTGACCCAGACAGCGCCCTCTGTGGTATAGACAGACACCCAGGCTCTGTGGTCCAACGGCCCGGGTTCCGCACAAGGCCGCCACAGAAGCCAGCGTGGGCTCCGCTCCCCGTCTGTGCAGCGAGGGTGGCAGCAGCCCCTCAACTCCAGTGAGTGTGAAAAATCAGTGGGATGACAAGATAATACACCAATCATGTAATATTTGTCATCATGCCCACCAGTGGCTGGAAGCCCACAGCGTCTCACTGTCTAGAGGATGGGTAGAGACTGGGCAAAGTGATAGGCATCCGCCGTCGGTGCGGGAAGAGGCATTTGGAGGCGAGACCGACCTTCTGGAAGTGAGGCATATGCCAGAGGGCATCCAGCTTCACGGGCGGCTTGTACTTTCTCAGCTGACTGCTCCGGGTCTCATATAGCTTCCCCAGGATCACCTGCAGGCCAGACAAATGCAGAGGTGAGGCTGTCTCCCGGTTCCCGGAGGAGCCCGAGCTACGATGAAGGGAGGTGAGGGCAGAGGGTTGGGCTTCCTGGTGTTGCGGACTCCTGGGTTGCGTTCCTCCCTTCTCCGAGGCCACTGCTTCCCTTCCCCACCCCCGCCCTGGCTCCGTGGATTCCGGTGTGGGACGCACCCGGTGCCACGGCATGTTGATCTGTTTCTGGTCTGACCCCTAGAGCTCACAGGGGGTAAATTTCCTGGAATCTGATGCAACTTGAGCTTTGGGGATCCTCGTGGCACACGGTCCTGACTAAGGTCTTGGAGGGGCCCTATTCGTACGCTCTGTTTCTCCAAAATCTGTAATAATCGTGTGTTTTGTTGTGTACTTTCTCTTTTCTTTCTTTTTTCCTTCCACGGAAGGGCAGCCGACACAGAATGTTACATTAGTTTTGGGCGGACAATGTAGTGATTTGACACATCTGTGCATTTGCTGGTCTTGGCAGTGCGGCTGTCTGTCACGGTACGACCCTAGTACTGCACCATTGACTCTATCCCCTGGGCGGCACCTTTTATCCCCGGGACATACTCATTCCATCGCCGGAAGCCTGTGTGTCCCACTCCCCTTCCGCGGGCCCTCCAAGGTATAGTTCGGGGTCTGCAGAATCTGCACCTGCCCTGGGTTCTACCGCAATAGAACTGACCCCGAAGTAGCTGAAGATCGAACCCCTTTTACTGGCTGATTTTGTCAGTCATTTACATTAACTTCATTGAATGCGTCTGTGGATACCGCAGAAGCCCTTTGGATCAGCCGTCTTCTCTGCCTTCTAGAACAGTTTTGCAACTATCTGCAAACGTGAGATGCTAGCCGGCCGAGAGTGACCAAGCCTGCCTTCAGAACGGGGGTGGGGGATGCAGACACCCCGTTCCACCTTCCTAAGTGGAAATGGATCTCCCTGCTGGAAACGGATCGCTGATGCCTGACAGACAAGGTTGGTCACCGTAGGATTTGCTGAGCTCAGCGTTGAGCCAAAGGGCCCAAGATAAAGACTCACTGCGTGGAAGCTGTTGCTGAGACTTTCATGGGTGGGGGGGAGCCACCATCCAAACCCCAGGACATCCTTTGCTGCTGGAGAGACAGGCTTCCCCGCGGATGGTGGCAACTTGACCTTGCAAGATCAACCATCCTGTCAACCCCAGGCCCCAGCCCGTGTGTGTGGGTCTGGGTGTTCCTTGCTGTGAGACAATGTACAGCCACAGAGAACCTTGGAATGGGAAGAGAACCCTGGGGTTGGTTCCACAAGTGTTTCCTGAGCACCTGCTGTGCGCTGGGCACGGCACAGTGGGCCCTCAGTTGATCTGAGCCTTTCTTTCCCCCGTGAGGGAACTGAGGCCGTCACAGCCCCAGAGCGGGCCCCAGTTCCCAGCCAGGGCTAGGGGCAGAGCCACTCCCATTAGTGGGGTGCTCTGCCTAACGGGGAGGGGCACTGGTCACAGCTGTCTCTAGCGTCAGAAGACGTGTCCTTGGGAGCTCGGTTTTCCATGGATTTGCGAGTCGCTGGGAAATTGTGGCTAATCAAAACGCGCGACGGAATTGGAGCTCTAAGGCGGCTTGTAACGGCAGGGCTTCCTTCGAAACTGCTTGTTACCATAGTAAGTTGACTCTTTTTTGGGCCATTAACGAGTAAACTAGTCAGGGGCTGCTTATTAAAATGTTATTGCAACACTCTGCTGTTTCAGGAGCCGGTGTCTTGTGCAAGGACCAAGGACAGCGGGAGGGGCCATGGTGGCCAGCCAGGGGCCCGGGGAGCCTGGCACCCTCTGCCCTGCAGTGCCGCTCCTGGCCTGTCCTGAAGCTCCCCACTTTGGCTCTAGAACGTCTCCTGACTCTTCCGCTCCCCACTTTGGCTCTAGAACGTCTTTGTCCGGTTGCTGAACTCCAGGCTTTCCCATATTAGCAGGGGTGGGACCTCGCCCTCCAGGACAGCCGAGACTCTGGGGCCGCATACACAGGGGAGTCCAGGCCTGGCTCTGACGCCTTTGGCCAGTCGCTTAACCCCTGCGAGCCTACGTTTGCCCACAGGAAAATGGAACAACCGAGATGACCCGATGAGTTCCCAGCCTCATGGGGTGCTCAGGAGATGGAACGTGGGAACACGGGTGCGCGCTCAGCCCAGCTCCCTGCCCGGAGCACGGCGTCGGGAGGGCGCCGGCTGGATTGTGGCACCAACCAGACAGGCGCACATCGTGCTTCTAGTGAAATCCCTGTGGCACCACGCCTTCATCGGTCAGCATCGACTGCCGCTCGCACCGTTAGCAACTGGCAGCGTGGGGACACAGTTCTGTCCACAGCTTCGGCGTCCCTGTGCGGTCACCGCCGCGCTGAGGCTCAGTTTCCATGCCCAGGAAATAGGAACGATGGCCACCTCGGGGGCTTCAGCCAAACCTAAGGGACACGATGTGTGTGACATACACGATGGATTTAGTGTGTGGCCTGTCATCACTTTGGAACAAAATGTTTTCCTGAAATACAACGAAATGTGTTCTCTACGGCATCCCGCCTTCCTAGGCTTTTCTTTAGTCCAGGGCGCCCTGCTGTCTCGGCAGGGCTGGGTTGGTTGAAAATCAGACTTCTGGACGTGCGGAGCCCTGGAAGGTTGGTGGACGGAGGCCCGGAGAGGAGTCGGGACACGGGGTTCTGGCCCGCGTCAGAGGCACACAGGGCCGTGGCCAGAATCTTCCTTGTCCGGGCTTGAGTAGGGGTTGGGTGTGATCATCACCAAGACCCTTTTAGCACAGCACCTCGCAGCTTGACTCCCACCCCCCACCCCCCCACATTTGTGACAAACGTGCCCAAATGTCAGTGTCAAAGCTTTGCCAGGCCAGGCCCTCCCCCCGCTCCCATCCCAAACAGGGGCTACTCTGGAGTGGGGGGTGCTTTTACCTTGTGCTTTTTCTCCAGTTTAATGGCTTTCTGGGTGGCCTTCTGTTCCTGCACCCAAAGCTGCTGGTAGCGATGCTGTAGCAGGTCAAAGAAAGGTGTGGAGGGCCTGCGGGGAGAAGGACAGAGAGGCTGTCTTAGAAGGCTCCGCATTCTCTCCACCAAGGAAGCCCCCCTGACCTTCAGGGCGGGACGCTGGGAGGTGGTGACAAAGACTGTCCCCGAGAGTGGGCTTTAGACCGCCTCCTTGGAGCCCTCTTTTCAACCAGACCTTGCCCTTGGGCTTGGTCCTTGATCGGTGAAGCCAGTCTTCATAAAGAATCGGCGAAGTCAATCCCCCATCCCGCCCCCCACCCCCCATTGGTTTCAGTGTCTGATCACCTTGGCCTGCCTTTACCATCGGATCAGCTCAGCGAGCATCGCCTTGCCCCGTCTGTGTCCTTCCCTGACCCCCACCCCTGCTCCCGGACGGTAAGCACCACCACCCCCGCCCCGTGCTGATTCTCTTTCTCCTTGTGCAGAGGGACTGCATGCAACCATCACCGCCTCTCGTTTCAGACTCCGGTTCTCCTTGACAAGGGTCTCCGGCCTGGGGGAGCACTTGCCCAGCGCGCCCCATTTCGTATGCCCCGCCCCTTCGCAGCGGTGTCCTCTCCCAGAGGATTGGTGGGTGGCACGTGAGACCTGCCCAGAGTTGCCGCATAGGTGACAGGGATGAGGACAAGCTCTTCACAGAAGAACCAGAGCTCACGGTTGCAGGAGGGAATGATGGAGCCGAGGGGAGGGGAATCACTGGGGATGCCGCTCCCCACGAAAGGGCGGATGGAGACAGTCCTCGTCAGTGGCTGCCTGCGCCGTTCGGGGACGAGCTGGCAGGAGACCGTACGCTGCGTGGTGCAGGCTGCGGCAGCCGAACCAAATGCCCCCTTCCTCTATTGTGGTCAAATACAGACACGCCGTACAGTTTCCCCATGTGATCAATCTTACCGTTCCTGAAAGGGACAAGCAGAGGTCTGTGCCCGAAGTGATACGTGGGAGGCACACGGGACCACCCACCCACTGTGCTTCAAGAAAAGAAACTCAAGTACCCCGGCGGTCATCAGACTTCTAGAAAGCACTGTCAAATCGAAACACAACACGAGTCGCCACGTAACGAGGGCTTTTCCGGGGGCAACGTGGAAAAGGAACAGGCAGAATCGGTTTTACTAATGTATCTTATCCCTCTCATTACTGATATTATGTTATCGATCTAGTCCAGCCGAAATATTGTCACAGCACCATAGAGTCCTTCTTCAAATATTCACGGGGTGTTCGAAAGATTTAGTTTTGAAATTTTGAATTTTACTTAGTCAAAATTAAATAAGGTAAATTCGGCTCCTCAGTGGCACCAGCCACATTGCGAGGGTTTGGTAGCTGCCTGTGGCCGGGCCACCGCATCAGACACACAGCGGTCGGCCTGCCTGCCATGGCTCGCAGGAGGCTCGGGGCCTGGGGGTGTGCTACGCACCCCCGCGAGGATGCCGGTGCCCAGGCCCGAGTGTGGGATGCTCTGCGGGATGAGTGACATCAGCAAACACTGGACCGCGGGGAGGGAGGAGGAGAAAGGGAGGTAGATGACAGTGACCTGAGAAATGCACCCAGCAGGTGCCATCCATGGGCCTCGTTCGGACCCCGAGTCAAGCAAACCATCCGTGGGAAGGTGTGGGCCAAGTGAGCGTTAACCAAGGTTTGGAAGCTATTCAAGTGTTTCTGTGGGAGATGCATAGGGAAGGGCTTGTGGGTGGAGTAATTGGTTGTTTACAATTTGCTTTAAAAAGGAGCTTCCAGGGACGCCTGGGTGGCTCAGTTGGTTGAGCAGCTGCCTTCGGCTCAGGTCATGGTCCCAGCGTCCTGGGATCGAGTCCCACATCGGGCTCCTTGCTCTGCAGGGAGCCTGCTTCTCCCTCTGCCTCTGCCTGCCATTCTGTCTGCCTGTGCTCGCGCTCTCTCTCTCTCTCTCTCTCATAAATAAATAAAATCTTTAAAAAAAAAAAAAGGAGCTTCCACAAACAATAAATACATTACAGTCAGATAAAGTGGGAATGGGTGGCAGTATGTACCGATAATGGTTGAAGCTGGGTGTTGGGGGTTGATCACGGGCATGTATATAGTGTCGGCTCATACTTTTGTGAAATGTTTGACATTGTTCATCCTAAGCAAAAAGGGTAAAAGAAGAAGAAACAGTGAATCAGGCTCATTGCTTCCCCCCTCCCATGTCTTTCTGACCTTCCTTTTCTTGGTGAACAGTCCTAGCCAGCTTCTGCCTCTCACATCTGAGCTTATCATTTCTTCATTTCCCTGGCCAGAGAGTCTCAGATTTTTCTGGTGCATAAGAATCACCTGGGCCTGGGGCACCTGGGTAGCTCAGTGGGTTAAAGCCTCTACCTTCGGCTCGGATTATGATTCCACGTTCCTGGAATCGAGCCCCACATCAGGCTCTCTGCTCAATGAGGATCCTGCTTCCTCTCTCTCTCTGTCTGCCTCTCTGCCTACTTGTGATCGCTGTCTGTCAAATAAATAAAGAAAAATCTTAAAAAAAAAAAAAAAAAAAGAATCACCTGGGCCCAACCTCCAGAAGTTCTGAGGTAGGAAGTGGGAGGGGGACCCAGGAAATCACATTTTTAGCAAATATAGTTCTGATACAGGGTGTGTGGGCTGAAGGGTTGCCTTTCAAGTGGTGTTTCCATCCTCCTCCCTAGAACCTGTGAATATGACTTTATTTGGAAAAAGGGGTTTTGCAGAGGTAGTCCACTTAATGATCTCAAGATGGGATTAAGAACTATGCAAATTCTGGGGCACCTGGGTGGCTCAGTGGGTTAATCCTCTGCCTTCAGCTCAGGTCATGATCCCAGGGTTCTAGGATCGAGCCCCGCATCAGGCTTTCTGCTCAGCAGGGAGTCTGCTTCCCTCTCTCTCTGCCTGCTTCTCTGCCTACTTGTGATCTCTCTCTATCAAATAAATAAGTAAAATTAAAAAAAAAAAAAGAACTATGCAAATGCTTCCTGGGGGTAGGCCCTGTATCCAAAGACAAGTGTCCTCATATGGAGCTGACACACAGGGGTCCTGCGGCCCACCCCAGGGACACACTTAGAAACAGCCCTCCCTCCTCTGGAGGGCATCTAGAGCAGGTCCCAAGACTAGAAATCAGTCTTTCACAGCCCAAGGAAACACAGAACAGCGTTCTGCAACCTGGCATGTGCATGGGTCCCCATCCCCGGGGGATCTCGTTACAGGCACGTTCTGGTTTGGTGGGTCTGGAGTGGCCACAGGTGTTGTGGCCCGGGACCCACACTTTGAGGCTTAAGACTTAGCCCCGGGGGTCTTAGCCCCCGAAGTCCCAAGAGTTGTGGACAGTAACTTCTGAGCAGGTGTCTGGGGGAGGAACCGCAGCTTCTCTCATTGCGCTTCTGGAAATGCAAGTGCCCCAGGAAACGCTCTGGTCTTCCCCAGTGACCTTATCTTACAGACCAGGGAAGGCAGAAATGGCAGTGTTAAGAAGACACACGCACCCCCCCTCCCCGCCACCAGGATCTTGAGGCAAACTTCCAGCCTCTCTAGCTTTGCATTTTTTGTTTTTGTTTCTGTTTTGGGGGTTTTTTTTTGTTTGTTTGTTTGTTTGTTTGTTTTATGAGGGGAAGGGGCAAAGGGAGAGGGAGAGAGAGAATTTTAAGTGCGCTTCACATCCAGTGCGGAGCCCAACACTGGTTTCCATCTCATAACCCTGAGATCAAGACCCGAACTGAAACCAAGAGTCTGATGCTTAACTGACTGAGCCACCAGGCGCCCCTCTGGCTTTGCGTTCAAGACAGCAACCTTAAATACTTTGACACTGCCATCATAGTTATCAACAGTTAAAAGTCGGGAAATTTTACATTAAAACCCCAGCTTCCCAGACTGTCTTGAAAACCTGCAAGTGCTGACTGTGCAGTCTGTGGGCAGCAGCTACCGGCCGGCGCCGAGGGTCACTGTCAGGGCGCCCCACGCCTCTCCCTTCCCTGCTGCCCCTTGCCCCGGTCAGCTCCGCTCCCTGAAGGGCCCCTCCAGATGGACATCTCTGTGTCCATCTCTGTGGCCCCAGAGATGGACACAGAGTCAGACGGGACCCTAAACATCCACCCTGCGTCCCGTCCGTTCCGGTGTAGTCTGACCCCCGGTGTGCAGACCTCCCTGGGCGGGGACGGGCTGAGCGAGGGCTCTGCTTGAGCAGCGGCTCGGCTCGGCTCCGTGTCTCTGAAAAGCCTCTCGAGCTCAGAGGTCTCTTTACAGAGCAGCCTGCCGTGCGGCTACAAACAGTGGCTCTTTGTTTTCCGGTTCCTTTACCCCTGCGGTGACTTTTATTGCTTAATTATCACACGCCCCATGCTTCTGAGCAGCCTAATTTATGGCCACGCTTTCTAATGACATGAGATGCGTAACCTCACAGCATCTACCCCCAGAGGCCGTTCACAACAGAAGAGCTGTCTTGCCAGCAGCCCCCACTGCATACATCACCAGGAGCCTCCCTTCGAGGCCCTCCCGAAGCCTGGGCTGGCCAGCTTTGGGTCCTGCTCCGGCCAGTGGTTATTACCTGGAGACGTTTTGGGGGATGGGATGGGGAAGGGGCTCGGAGCGGGAGAACAGCTGAGAAACCCTGGGGGTCGCGGCAGCCCCAGCGTGGCTGGCTGAGGGAGATCTGGCAGGTTCTGCCCATTTCTGCTCTGGCTCGTTCACTTGGGTAAAAAGATGGGGAGGCTTGTCAGGAGACAAATCAGATCACATCACCCTTCTCCGTTTTAACCCTAAGCCTAGACTCCGGGCCAGGGACCTTCAAGGCTCCTTGCCTCCACCGCCACCTGGCTCACCCTCGGCTTCTGCTGGTCTCAGCCGTGGGGTCGCCTCCCCAGAAGGCCTGCCTGACCGCCTGTCCTCGGCCGCCCCCGACAGGTGGCCGCTCACGACAGGGATTCCAGGTCACCGGTTTGCTACCGGCCTGGGCCACTGCACGCCAATACCCCCAGGGCAGGAACGGTTCGTGTAGTTGAAGAAGAAGGACGGGGAGTCAGAGAAAGAAAGATCAGGCAAAATTCTGGG